GATATACATAGACTCAAAATAAAGGGTTGGAAAAAAAAAAAAAACGTACCAACCAAATGGAGAGCAAAAATAAATAAATAAAAAGCAGGAGTTGCAATTTTCACATTTGACAAAATAGATTTCAAAGCTACAAGGATACAAGTTGTAAAAGGATTAATGTAATAATAAGAGATCTTAACACCCAGATACATAAGACCCATAATGAGATTTAGATTCAACGAGACAGAAAATTGATAACGATATCCGGGACTGGAACTAAGATCCAGAACAAATAAACTCAATAGAGCTCTCCATTTTAAACACACAAAATATACATTATCCACAAAATCTAACGATATATCTAAAGATATACAAAGACTCAAAACAAGTGGATGGAAAAAAACTCACCAACCAAATGGAGAGCAAAAATAAATAAATAAAAAGCAGGAGTTGCAATTCTCACACTTAATAAAATAGATTTCAAAGCTACAAGGATGCAAGGGTAAAAGGATTAATGTAACAATAAGAGATCTTAACACCCAGATACATAAGACCCATAATGAGACTCAGATTCCACAAGACAAAAAATTGATAACGATATCCAGGACTTGAACTCAGAGTCAGAACAAATAAACACAATAGAGGTCTCCATTTTAAACACATAAAATATGCATTAACCACTTTAAACATTCAAAATATTGATCGGCCATTATTGAAACCCATTTTAGGAATGAAGTAATATTCCTTTTTCCCTCTTTTTCCCCTTCTTTTTCTCTTTTTCCCTAAAAAAATAAATAAATAAAAATAAAAAAGAATAAAATAAAATTGCAACTCCCACCCCCACCCCAAACACCTCAGCCCCTCTTTTTTCTCCAAAACATATATCACCATTAAATCGATTTTGGTGTCTGTCTCCCCCATTCTAGAATGCAAACTCTAAGAGGTGGAGGATTTTTGTACCTTTTGTTTACTATCTATTCCCCAGCACCTAGAGCAGCACTTGGTAGAGTGGGGATAGATGGAGAAATACAGTCTCAGTCAAGTTTCTTACCCAAACTCTTACTAGTAAGTGGTATCTTGGATTATAGAGCCATGGATAATCCCAATTATACTTTACCTGTTATTGACCATCATCCAGAGAGTCAGACAGGAGCTCTGACTCAACCAAGGGCAGAGTAAGGCTTATATGCTTCCTGAGTATTGGCAATCTTGGCTTCACAGGTTTTTAGAACACACTAGGGTATTTTCCTAGCTGTTTCTGGTCAACTGTTTAGGAAATCCTCCTCCCTGGAAACCATCCTGGATAAATGAGAAGAGCCCAAGGTTTCCTTATCGATATTGTCTAAATGGGACTATCCCATTTCATGATGGATTATATTTGCCTTCCCACCAAACTGTACTTAGCCTGACACACAGATACTTTCAAGTTGCTTGTTCGTATCATTGTGGTCTTAAAAGTTTCTGGATATAAGTTTTGGATTACAAATTCTCTGTAATTTTGTTTTGCCCTTAGAACAGAACTTAAGGCCCTTAAGTGGTATATTAGCTTTCTGCTAATGATGGCAGAATACTCAAAACAGTGAAAGACACAGAAAGTATATGGCTGGGCGGGGCAGCTCACACCTGTAATCCCAGCATTTTGGGAGGCTGAAGTGGGGCAGATCACTTGAGGCCAGTAGTTGGAGACCCAGCCTGGAGACCCTAACATGGAGAAACTTCGTATTTACTAAAAATACACAAATTTGCTTGGCATAGTGGCTCACACCTGTAATCCCAGCACTTTGGGAGGCCAAGGTGGGAGAATCACCTGAAGTCATCCTGGCCAACACAGAGAAACCCCATCTCTACTAAAAATACAAAAATTAGCCAGGTGTGCTGGCGCATGCCTGTATTCCCAGTTACTCAGGAGACTAAGGCAGGAGAATCACTTGAACCTAGGAGGCGGAGGTGGCAGTGAGCCAAGATCGAGCCACTGTACTCCAGCCTGGGCAACAGAGCAAGAGTCTAAAAAAACAAAACAAAACAAAACAAACAAACAAACAAACAAAAAATACAAAAATTAGCAGATGTGGTGGCACATACCTGTAAATCCTAGCTACTCAGGAGGCTGAGGCAGGAGAATCTCTTGAACCTGGACAGTGGAGGCTGCAGAGAGCTGAGACCACACCACTGCAGCAGAGCAAGACTCCATCTCAAAAAAAAAAAAAGACCATGTAGAAGGTTTCCAGCCAGGTGCAGTGGCTCATGCTTGTAATCCCAGCACTTTGGAAGGCCGAGGAAGGCAGATCACCTGAGGTCAGGAGTTCAAGACCAGCCTGACCAACATGGAGAAACCCCATCTCTACTAAAAATACAAAATTAGCTGGATGTGGTGGCACATACCTGTAACCCCAGCTACTTGGGAGGCTGAGGCTGGAAAATTGCTTGAATCTGGGAGGTAGAGGTTACAGTGAGCCAAGATTGCACCACTGCACTCCAGCCTGGGCAGCAAGAACAAAACTCTGTCTTAAAAAAAAAAAAAAAAGGCATTTCCATAGGGAGGGATCCCTGTAGGATCAGGTGTGACAGTGAGCATATAAAATATAAGGGCAAGCTGATACCATCATTGGTACTAAAACCACTTAACTAATCCCAGGAATTCTGCTCCTATCCTAAATAAAGGCAGAATTCACTAGCAGTTCTCAGACCTCAGCAAAGGGCCAACTCAGATAAAGCCAGTACATATATATAACAGAGATTCTATCTTAGATTCAGAGCTCAACCCTGCTGGAGTTGTGCCATTTTACCCAAGGCTTTGACCTACCTGCACATCTTAGGGCAGAGTGCCACCTTGTCCTCCTTCAGTTGGCCTATCTACTCTTCCCCTGATTGGTCAATATCTCAGGAACCCACCAGTCTCCTTTTGCCCATCCCTATGCCTCGGCCATCCATAACTGTGGGTGACTAGGTCAGTCACACATTTAAAAGCTAATTACTGCCACCATATGTAAGGAAAGCCAAAGAGGCAGCTGGAGCAGACCAGGCAGGCCCAAGACAATTTGAGGTTATAAAGATGGAGAAGGAATGATTCCAAATGAAGCTTCCAAGGAAACATCTGCAAGAACTGATGGTACTCTGGAGAGGAGCAGGAGGAAGTCAATGAAGAGGACTGTGTGAGGCACAGTGGTGGTGCTGACAACACTCATCATTAGGGCTGTTTCTTCATTCCACTCTTCATTGCTGGCACCCAGTTCCTCTAGGGTAACAAACATATATTCAGGTAACAAATGACACAAATTATATCAAATTAAAAACAAAGTACATACATTTGCATTGGCAATTTTTAATGTTTCACTTGTGCAGAACTGAAATTTGTATTTAAAGGCACAGAAGGAAGGAAAGGCAGTTATCAGAGCAGGAAGTCACAGATAAAGGATGCCGGATAAAAGGCATAGGACTGCTCCTTTTTAGCCTTAAGAAAAAAAATAATGCAGTACCAAACTAGATTTTTATTTTTATTATATTTCCATGTGAAAACATCACCCAAATGTCAGTGGAGCAAGAGACTTTATGGCCAGATACCAAAGGTACACAGTCGATCCCACTTTGGAATAAATGCCCAGAAGGTAAAAATTATCAGTGAGTGAGAGCTCTAGGCACAACATAAGTTCTCATTGAGAAAGTGGACAGAGATATGAAGCAGTGAAACATACAGCTTTAAAAACTGGAAATCTTTCATGACATTTTATTTTCAAGTAAACATCTGCATTTCAAGAATTATAATTTTCAAAAGTAGAATCAGGCCTGATTAAGTAGTACTTATGACTTACTGATAAAATTACAAAAATAAAAACAAAAACTCTTCTGCCCTTGAAAGATAGGAAATTATATATTTTTTCCTGTAATATCATAGAGATTCATCAGTATTTCACCTTTATGTCACTTAAAAATGTTGTTTTTTCTTCATCTTTCATGTTCTGCCACTTTTAACATAGCAAAACCTGTTCAATATGACCGTCTCTACTAAGCGAAAGGATATATTATGTACTGCATGAATGAGAAAAAGCTACAATTTACCCCTAATAGTATCATATCTACCAAGTGGGAGAAAAGATAAAGACAGGTATTTTCCTAAAAACAAAACTCAATGATTTAAAATATCCTATACATAATTTCTAATTTCAAAGCACTATTAGACATTCTTGATCAGTGTGTAGCAAGAGAGGGAAGAGAAAATTTAAAATTTGGTAGAACAGGAGAGCATTTTTCTAACTACTTTCATGTAAATAACATTGGCCTTACCAACTATTACCTTTCTTAGTTAAAACACTGATTGGCCAGGTGAAATCATAACAGCATGAAATTAAGACCAGATTTCAACCTAGGTATGAGCACAATGATTCAGGACCACTGTTTCCACCTCACAGAAATGACTCCTGAGGTGGTGCTCCCCTTTTTAAACATATGCCCCCAAACACCTCATATACAGATTCCATATAAGTATATACATAAAACAAGTTCTGTATTTTTCCAAATAATTTTACAATTTCATGGTAAATTAATGTCAAAGATAAACTATGCCTTTAAAAACATTAAGCTTCAAAATTCATCCAGTGTTTTCTTTAAGAAATGAATTATTAAAATCATTTTTGAAATGACATAATAAATGTATTTAAATCTGGGCTTTCCTGTACTTAATTTTTCTTTTAAAAAAAAAAGTTTAAAAATATCATGAGCTGGAACATGCTGCCAGGACAGAAATAATCAGAAATGTCTTCAGTCACAGACCCTGGGCATCTCAGTGTTGCTTCGTACTTTTCAAAGCTTGAAGTCTCTCTAGCAGTGGAGGATGAGAATAATGCCACATTGAGAACAACCAGTCAGAAACAGGGAATCCCAAGTTATCTTTGTTAAGTTTGATTAAAGCAGAATATAAGTCTTTAGCTTTCCCAAGTTTCTTGGCAAATGCATCAGCTTGAAACTCAAATCTGCGGCTTAGGACTGTTAGGCAAAAAGAAAGAACCTGAAAAAGTAAATGAAAAGGTTTTAGCCACTGTTCACCTCTTCATTGTCACTGAAGGTTACCTGAGCTGAGACTGTAGAGGAAGTTTTGACTTGGGATAAGAGAAATGGCAGGACAAAAGAAAGATCACTAATATTTAGGGGACCTATGGTGAGGAAATTATAAATTGAGCCTTATTTTCCCCAACCAAACAGGCCAGAAACAGACATACAAGTTAAACATCCCTAACCGAAAATTTGAAATCTGAAATGCTTCAAAATCTGAAACTTTTTGAGTGCTGACAAGAGACTCAAGTCATGCTCAGGCCAGAAGCAGTGCCTCACACCTGTAATCCAAGCACTTCGGGAGGCCAAGGCAGGTGGACCCCCTGAGGTCAGGAGTTCAAGACAAGCCTGGCCAACATGGTGAAACCCCATGTCTACTAAAAATACAAAAATTACCTGGGTGTGGTGGTGCACTCCTATAATCTCAGCTATTTGGGAAGATGAGGCAGGAGAACTGCTTGAACCTGGGAGGCAGAGGTTGCAATGAGCTGAGATTGTGCCATTACACTATAGCCTGGGTGACACAGTGAGACTCCATCTCAAAAAAAAAAAGTCATGCTCACTAGAGTATTTTTAGATTTCAGATTTTTTAGATTCTTGGATTAGAGATGCTTAACCAGTATATATAACATAATTACTCCAAAATCCAAAAAAAATCTGAAATCTGAAATGCTCTGGTCTCAAGCATTCTGAATAAGGAACACCTAACCTATATATCCAAATGAATGCTATCCTTAGTGAAATGCCATGCAGCAGGAACTGAGCTGGTACTTTATGAATTCTCCAACAGCCTCTTACTCCTGCTTTGCAGATGGAAAAGATCACACAGCTGAAAGGTGGTAGTACTTACATACTTAGAGAATCTAAAACCAATGCACATCACCTTTCTCAGAATCAGTTATTTCATAGTAATTTATATTCAGACTCTTTATTTTTAAAAATATTCCTGATCACTTATCCACCTTTAAAGGATAATGACAGTCTTTACTGAGAATATTCTTAAAAATATGCCACGAACGAGCCTCTAATGACGGTCTCAAAATTGGGTTTTCTGAAGTGTTCTGAGCTATGGCAGCATCATCAGAATAAGTATATGATTTCTGAAGGTGACCACTAAAAAGGAAATAATTTCATTTGAAAATATAAATCCTGAGGGAAAAATAATTTCTTTGCATACTGCAGGTTAAATGACATGATTTCTATTTCTTAAAGCATTTTGGCATTAAACATTTAAGAAAAAGAAAGTTTAAAAGTCTCATGTTTATTTGCCAGTAGCAAATACAGTTTCAAAATAAAATGTGAGAGTCTCTAACAGCTTCTCAGATCTGTTCAAAACTAATAATTGAATTCCGTCTGAATTTTTTTTAATCTTGATTATACTTTTAGGGACAGAATCATTAACTAGTCTCATATAAATCCCATTCTCTTTCACTCTCTTCTGATTTTAAGTCTTCCAGGTAAACTCTTCTTTGATTCTCATTGTAAGACATAAAAACATAAGCAGATACTAACTTGCACCTGTTTTGTTGTATGTTTCCAAACTCTGCTTAATAGGGCAATTTTCCCATTTCCCCCAGGAAAATGTCCTTTCCTATGAATACCTCTTTAAACTCTGACATTAAACATAGATTTTCTGCTTAAACAGTTAACCTTTTGAAAGAAGTATCCTGGACTCTCCAAAGCGTTTTTTTAATTATTTGGTTTTGTTTTGTTTGAGACAGAATCTCATTTTGTTGCCCAGCTTGGAGTACAGTGGCACGCTCCTGGCTACTGTAACCTCCGACTCCTGGGTCCTGGTTCAAGCAATTCTCCTGCCTCAGCCTCCTGAGTAGCTGGGATTACAGGCATGCACACCCACCCAGCTAATTTTTGTATTTTTAGTAGAGATGGGGCTCTATTGTGTTGGCCAGGCTAGTCTTAAACTCCCGACTTCAAATGATCCACTCACCTCCGCCTCCTGAGTAGCTGGGACTACGGGCTAGATTTTTTTTTTTTTTTTGGTAGAGATGGCATCTTGGTATATTTATATTGCCCCAGCTGGTCTTGAACTCTTAGCCTCAAGTGATCCTCCTGACTTGGCCTACCAACACAGTGGGAGTACATGAATGAGTCACATCACACCTGACGCATCCCCAAGGTTTTTACAACAGTTGCTAATATCTCTGTGGATTAACCATATTTCTTTTTCTTTTATTTTTTTTTTGAGACAAGTCTCCCTGTGTTGCCCAGGCAGGAGTGCAGTGACACAATCTCGGCTCATTGCAAACTCTGCCTCCCGGGTTCAAGCAATTCTCCTGCCTCAGCCTCCTGAGTAGCTGGGATTACAGACATGCACAACCATGCCCAGCTAATTGTTTTATTTTTAGTAGAGACAGGGTTTCGCCATGTTGGCCAGGCTGGTCTTGTACTCCTGACCTCAAGTGATCCACCTGCCTCAGCCTCCCAAAGTGTTGGGATTACAGGCATGAGCCACCTAGCCCGACTGTTTTTTTGTTTTGTTTTTGAGACGGTGTCACTCTGTCATCCAGGCTAGAGTGCAGTGGTGTGATCATTGCTCACTATATAACCTTGAACACCTGGCCTCAAGTGAAGTAACCCTCCTGCCTCAGACTCTCGAGTAGCTGGGACTATGGCTAAATTTTTTTTTTTTTTTTTTAGAGATGGCATCTCACTATATTGTCCCAGCTGGTCTTGAACTCTTGGCCTCAAGTGATCCTCCTGACTTGGCCTTTCAACACAATGTGATTACAGGAATGAGCCATACTGTACCTGACCCATCTCCAAGGTTTTTAAAACAGTTGCTAATTTCTCTGCGGATTAACCACATTTATTTTTTTTTTTTTTGAGACAAGTCTCCCTCTGTCACCCAGGCTGGAGGGCAGTGGCATAATCTCTGCTCACTGCAACTTCTGCCTGGTCTGCAACTCCTGACCTCAAGAAATCTGCCTGCCTCGACTGCCCAAAGTGTTGGGATTATAAGTGTGTGCCACCATGCCTGGCCTATTAACCAAATTTCAATTAATACCCTATATATTTAAATATTTTAAAAAGTGAACTCAACTACTGAATGTAACAAAACAAAAGGAAAAAAACCCTGGAGCAGCCAAAATAGATGCCACAAACAATAACCACCAGCACTACTTACCACCAGCTTTTACTTATAAGACCCTCCTACTCAGTCAGAATCTAGTAACTCTTACTTAATGAGCTTAATTATCCAGTCTATAGCAGGCTAAAGAAGAAAATTAGACAGAGATAATCCCTATAATAGAAAGTCACACTGATGGTAGCAAGGATTATCAGCCTGACAATAAGGAAACAAATGCAGCTGGAGCAGTGGCTCACACCTATAATCCCAGCACTTTGGGAGGCCGAGGCAGGCGGATTACCTGAGGTCTGGAGTTCAAGATCAGCTTGGCCAACTATGGCCAACATGATGAAACCCCATCTCTACTAAAAAATACAAAAATTAGCTCGGTGTGGTGGCAGGGGCCTGTAATCCCAGCCATTTGGAAGGCTGAGGCAGGAAAATTGCTTGATTGCACCACTGCACTCTAGCCTGGGCAAAAGAGGGAGAGTCTGTCTCAAAAAAAAGAATAAAACAAATGTAAAAATTCATTAAATAAAAAAATAAATAGCATAACCATCTAAAAAGAAGCAGAGCCATCTGGGGTCATTTAGTATACACCACTTAGTGTCCTTTAAGGCAGTCCTGAATTGTGAGAGAAGGCAAAAATGAGACTATCATTATAAGGAATTCTGTAACCTCTGTTTTAAGCAGTAACAAACTACACACGACATTTTATAAATATTTTCAACAAAAGTTAAAATAAAAATGGAAACTTTAAGAGTTTAAAGCTTGGCTCAGTGGCTCATGCCTGTAATCCCAGCACTTTGGGAGGCCAAGGCGGGTGGATCACCTGAGGTCCGGAGTTTGAGACCAACCTAGCCAACACAGTGAAATCCTGTCTCTACTAAAAATACAAAAATTAGCTGGGTATGGTGGCGGGTGCCTATAATTCCAACTACTCAGGAGGCTCAGGCAGGAGAATTGTTTGAACCCAGGAGGCAGAAGTTGCGGTGAGCTGAGATTAAGCCACTGCACTCCAACCTGGGCAACAGAGCGAGACTCTATCTCAAAACAAACAAACAAAAAAGTTTAAAGATAATACATCTCAGTTCTCTGTCAAATTTATTTCGTTTATGTAGACAATGCTATACAAATATGATCTATGCCTCTCCATTTTTCTTTTCTGGTATCCCCACCACACATAATAAAAAAATAAAATATGATTAGTTTAGCTCATCTCAACAACTTAACTCTACAATCTATCCCAGAAGGAATTCTTCTGAATGAAGATACCTAAAGATCTTCAATATTTCTTGGCTTAATTTGAAGCCTTACCAAACATCATGAAATGTTGCCATTTTCAGGTTTGTTATATAGTCTCATTAACCTATGTCTTATTACTCATATGGAATACCACTAATGAGCTATCACAGAGCAGTGTTCTTAAGCTTTATTTACCACAAAATACCCAATTTTGATTTTGTGGTTCCTGGGTGGATCCCTCAAGCTATGTGGAGGCAGGTGGTCATAGTGCAGAGCAGCAGTCACTAAGCCTCCCTTACTGAGCTGTACACAGACTCAGTGTTTGCTTTGTCCCCTCACACACATAACATTTTTACCCAAGCACTGGTGAATATGTGGCTTAGGACACAGCATTCCAGTAATCTCTACCTACCAAGTCCTTTAAGGTGTTCACCACTAAAGTCTAATTTTCTACTTATATTTTCCTAAGAGTACATAAGCACTTATTTATTTGGGCTTAAATTTTTCTGCCATTTTATCATACTGACCAGTAAATCAGGGGACTAACAGACTTTGTTTCATCTACTTGTTAAAACTGTACTGTTTTATTTCCTTTTTTACTATCCTGAAAGCTCTAGATTTGAAGCAGGCAAGAGCATATGTGTGATAATTTTAAAGATCATACATTACCTCATTGTAAGGTGAAAAAATAAACTGGAAGATGATCAATAGTCCAATTAGTGTGGGCTGGCTATCATAAAAACCAAATGCAGCAAAAAGCTCTTTTCGACCAATTAATACAGCAAATAAAAAAAAACACAGGAAAGAATTCATCTAGAAAGAAGGACATGAAATTTCTAAGTTATTACCAAGCTGATTTCACTATGGGATCAGTAGCATCCATAAAGTCTAAGAAATCATAGTGTGATTTTAAGAAAGGTATTAGTGTGATCACAGAAAAAGTTATTTAAGTAGTATTTATTTATTTATTGATAACAAATTTGTTGCCCAGGCTGGATTGCAGTGGCGCAATCTCTGCTCACTGCAACCTCCACCTACCGGGTTCAAGCAATTCTTTGCATCAGCCTCCCGAGTAGCTGGGACTTCAGGTGCGCACCACCACACCCAGCTAATTTTTGTATTTTTTAGTAGAGACAGGATTTCACCATGTTTGCCAGGATGGTCTCGATCTCTTGACCTCAGGTGATCCACCCACCTAGGCCTCTCAAAGTGCTGGGATTACAGGCATGAGCCACCCTGCTCTGCCAGTAGTTTTTAGTTTCACTTTTATTTTTAAAGGTAAAATAAAATGTTCCCAAATGTATAAACTATATCATTTTCTATAAGAGCAGGCTTAAGTTGAGCCTCTTATAATTGAGGGTTTGAAGTGGTCAATAGCAATGGGATATTTTCTCTCTGTAAAAGGGTGAAGGGCTAGAATGGATTCTGGCCTTGTTTTATAAGACTGTAATCAGATACAATGCCTCCCACCTTAACTTTAGGTGGTGGCTCCAAAGTGGAACTGTATTGAATAGTTAGAAAGGTCAGGGGAGGTCAGGCACAATGGCTCATGCCTGTAATCCCAGCACTTTGGGAGGCTGAGGCAGGCAGATTACAAGGTCAGGAGATCAAGACCATACTGGCCAACAAGGTGAAACTCCATCTCTAATAAAAATACAAAAATTAGCTGGGCATGTTGGCACAGGCTTGTAGCCCCAGCTACTTGGGAGGGTGAGGCAGGAGAATCACATGAACCCGTGAGGCAGAGGTTGCAGTGAGCCGAGATTGCACTATTGAATTCCAGCCTGGGTGACAGAGTGAGACTCCATCTCAAAAAAAAAAAAAAAAGTCAGGGGAAAAAGTAAATCCATCTTTATCAATAAATGAAAGGGGAAAAAATAAAAAATCTCTACCAAAATACCACCTCTTGGTAAGGTTGGAGAACATACACCATTCTTTTTCTGTAGCAAATTAGGATCTTGGAGGCCACATGTGCCCCCCCGCTTTTTTTTTTTTAAAGATGGGGTTTCGCCATGATGGCCAGGCTGGTCTTGAACTCCTGACCTCAGGTGATCCACCCACTTCAGCCTCCCGAAGTGCTAGGATTACAGGTGTGAGCCAACGCACCCGGCCAGTCACATGTGCTTTTTTTAAGTGTGTTGCTCCAAACCATTTACCAGATGACCCAAGAAGCTGCTAGCTTAGAATGGGGCTCAGAGCATAAGAAGGCTCACCAGGTGCCCCAGGACAAAGTACAGGCAGCTTTGCCACTCACCCTTATAACTCAGTGGATTCAGTATGATAAGTTCCAACAGAAAACTCAGTGAGGTCTCCTACACTTATAATCTATGCATCCACTTTTGTCAAGTAACCATTGCCCTTTTGAAAAATAACTTTTGGTTTGCTACTGGGCCCTACTACAGACTGAATTCCTGGCCATGGGATACCATGATCCTGCAACTTGAACTATTCCTCCCGATTCTGTATTAATCTACCTATCCAGGAAACTAGTGTGCCCAGAAGCATTCCATCATCAAGGATAAGTGATAGATATAGGAGTGGAAATGAAGCCAGTTATGAAACACCAGTAAGTTAAATAAGCAGGTGGCTCATACTCTAGTATACCAACTCCTGCCACCATACAACCCTCAAGCTACCCTTGCTCATATGCCATTCCCTATAATCATTTAATTGAACAGGGAAAAAATCAGAGCCTATTTTACAAGTAGCTTAGTACAATATGCTGGCACCAGCTGAAAGTGGACTGCTGTGGCATTACGGGGCCACTCAGGGATGGTCTTGGAAGACAGTGAAGGGAAATACTCTCAGTGAGGGTGACTTTAGGGTGTGTATCTCACTGTCTACTCAGTCTGGGAGGAGAGAGGGCCTGAGCCAAGGATGTATATGCTAATTCATTGGCAGTGGGAAAAAAAAAATGGTTTGGCTGGATAAATAGGGCCTTGGAAAAAAGTAGAGGATGGCCAACAAGGAGATTTGGAAAAGTGCTGTGTGAGAAAAAGTCCAAAATTACCACAGAGTTTCATTATAGTTGACCTAATGCTAATGTTCACCCAGAGTCCCATGGTCAAACAGGCTCTTAATCAAGTGGGAAAGCTATCTGCTTGGTGAAGGTCAGTTAGCCTTTCTCCATAGCCACTCTATGACTTGGTCAAGGGACTTATGAACAGAGTGGCCACGGTGACAAAGATGGAGTTAATGTATTGGTCAACACAGACATCCTCCCCACTGGCACCTGCCAAATGCCCAATCTGTCCAGAGAAACAATCAATCCCAGTCTTGATAAGGTACCACACCTTAGGGACCAGACAATCACATTGTGGTAGGCTGATTCCATTGGATCCCTTCCTTCATGAAAGGGGCAGTAATTTTCCTTATTAGACTGAAAACTCAATTGAACTTGGACCTGGGCTTAATCTTATTCAGTGCCATGTATCCACACAACATAGGTTCAAGCCAAGGAATTCATTTCTATACCTGAAGATATTGGAAAGTGCCCACATGAGTTCACAAATCTTCCCCGATAATCCATCACCCAGAATCAGCTGGCCTTTTTATTTTAATTTTTTTGAGACAGGGTCTCCTTGTCACCCAGACTGGAGTGTAGTGTTGTGATCATGGCTCACTACAGCCTTGACCTCCTGGGCTCAAGAAATCCTCCTATCCTAGCCTCCCAAGTAGCTGGGACTACAGGTGGATACCACCAAGCCCAGCTAATTTTTTAACCTTTTGGAGAGAAAGGGTCTCGCTATGTTGCCCAGATGTCTCAAACTCCTGGCCTCAAGTGATCCTCCCTCCTCAACCTTCCAAGTGTTGGGATTACAGGTGTGGGCCACCATACCTTTTTAAAGGTATGAAGACCCACTGATGATACAGTTAAGGCCACATATGCTCAGAACTAGTCAACATGATACAGTACCTTTTCACCCAAAGCCTAAATATCTGTTGGTTTAGAGGTTTTAAAACCCAGAGAAACATTATTGGAATTGTTTTCTTCTTTATATTTTCTATAATTTTCAGTGAATATATAACAACTTTCAAATGAAAAAAAAAAAAAGGTTTTAGACTGGGCATGGTGACTCATACCTGTAATCCCAACACTTTGGGAGGCCAAGGCAAGTGGATCGCTTGAGCTTAGGAGTTTGAGACCAGCCAGGGCAACATAGTAAAAACTAGTCTCTACCAAAAATACAAAAAAATTAGCTGGGTGTGGTGGCATACACCTGTGGTCTCAGCTGCTAGGGAGGCAAAGGCTGGAGGATGGCTTGAATCTGGGAGGTGGAGGTTGCAGTGAGCTGAGATCACATCACTGCACTCTAGCCTGGGTGACAGAGCAAGACCCTGTTTCAAAAAGAAAAAGAAAAAAATGTTTCTTAAAAAGCATTTTAGGCTGGGCATGGTGGTTCACACCTATAATCCCAACACTTTGGGAGGCCAACGTGGGCGTGTCACCTGAGGTCAGGAGTTTGAGACCAGCCTGGCCAATGTGGCAAAACCCCATCTCTACTAAAAATACGAAAATTAGCTGAGCGTAGTGACAGGTGTCTACAGTCCCAGCTACTCGGGAGGCCGAGATAGGAAAATCACTTGAACCTGGGAGGCAGATGTTGCAGTGAGCCAAGATCACACCACTGCACTCCAACCTGGGCAACAGAGCAAGACTCCATCTCACACACACAAAAAATTAAACACAAAAAAAAGGCATTTTAATGTTCAACTTACCTAGGCTTGTTCCTTTTGATCTTCCAAGTTCTTACTCTGGAGGTGATGATGGCGGTGATAACAGTAATTTATATAGTACTCACCAGGTTCCAGGTGCTAGTCTAAACTCTTTATAAATATTAACTCACTTAATTCTTAACCAGTTCTATGAGGTATTATAGTTCAATGAGGGGACAGAAGCGGAGGTTAAGGAACATGCCTGAGGTCACACAGGTAGTAAGTCAGGGAGCTGTGATGGGAAACCAGGTAGCCTGGCTGTGGAGTCTGTCTTGGCCTCTCTTATATGACCTCTCGTCCTTGCCATGATTCTAATTTGACTACCATGCCATAAAAAAAGCATTGTCACTCTACACTTACCTGGCTAATAATGATATTTTTGACTGTGTGTCCCAACTTCCAGTGCCCCAGTTCATGGCCTAGTACAGCGAGTACCTCCTCATTTTTACATCCTTGTTTCTTATTCTGAATAAAAAAAAAGGAAAATAAATCGAGAACCTTTAAAAAGTTCTATCTTTTAACCCACTAACAGCCCTTCATAGATTCTAACTTAAAGAAATAATCAGAGTTTTGTTCAAAACTGTTCACTGTCTTAACAAAACATTCCCTGAACCACCATTCCATATGAGAGAGTGGATTAAGCACTGAAGACAGAATGATGAACAAGACAGACATTTTCAGACTATATAAAGCTTATGATCTAGACTAACTTAGATTAGGAGAAAAAACTGGAAGAAATAGAAATCTTTATTAATGGGACAATAGTTAAATAAATCATGATAAAGTCATATGACAGTCATATTACAAAACAAAACCATTAGAAATTTTGTTTTCAAAGATTACGGCCAAGTGCACTGGCTCACGGCTATAATGCCAACACTTTGGGAGACCAAGGTGGGGAGATAACTCGAGGCCAGGAGTTTGAGACTAGCCTAGCCAACATATTGAAATCCTGTCTCTACTAAAAATATAAAATATTAGCCAGGCGTGGTAGTGCACCCCTGTAATCCCAGCTGCTCAGGAGGCTGAGGCATGAGAATCACTTGAAACTGGGAGACATAGGCTGCAGTGAGCCGAGATCATGCCATTGCACTTCAACCTGGTCAACAGAGTGAGACTATCTCAAAAAAAAAATGGATTATGTTCTGACATTGGAAAATGATTTATTAGCAGAAGAAAGTAAGATACAAACTAAAAATATATGGTATGATTCTAATTATGAAACAATGTGAATGTGTATATAAAATATACAAATGTAAAAAAATAGACTGAAAGTATATACAAATGTTAACAGTAGTTATTTTCTTTTCTGTTTTTTTAATTTTATTTTTATTTTTGAGACGGAGTTTTGCTCTTGTTGCCCAGGCTGGAGTGCAATGGCACAATCTCGACTCAATGCAGCCTCTGCCTCCTGGGTTCAAGTGATTCTCCTGCCTCAGCCTCCCGAGTAGCTGGGATTACAGGCATGTGCCACCACACCCCGCTAATATTTGTATTTTCAGTAGAGATGGGGTTTCACCATGTTGGTCAGGCTGGTCTCAAACTCCTGACCTCAGGTTATCCACCAGCCTCAGCCTCCCAAAGTACTGTGTCAGAACCTCTAGAGTTGGAGAAGGAACCTGGAACTTTAAATGTTTATCAAACAGTTCTCACCCAATTCTTACTTTAGCTACCTCCTCCTTTTATAAGCATGAACCACTGTGCCCGGCCAACAGTAGTTATTTCTATATGCTAGGACCAGAGCAACGTTTAATTATTTTATATCTTTCCTATTTTCCAAAGTATCTTAAAATGAGCATATATCACTCATGATTCAAAAAGTACACCATGAATTGCCAGTTAAGAAATGGTAACTTCCGGCCGGGCACAGTGGCTCAGGCCTGTAATCCCAGCACTTTAGGAGGCAGAGGCAGGTGCATTGCAAGGTTAAGAGGTCAAGACCATCCTGGCCAACATGGTGAAACCCCGTCTCTACTAAGAATACAAAGAAATGGTAACTTCCAAGGTAAGTTATCAGGAGGAACACTGACATCAAAAGTTTTTTTGTTTTGTTTTGTTTTTTAAAAAAAGATGTAAATCCAGAGGATGGGGAAACAGGAGAGAAAAAAATAGCAACATTTTGGAGGTGGGAAAGCAGACAGACAAATGATAATGGGCTAAACAGACCAAAGCAAGTTGAACCATAAGCCAGGAGCAGAAAAAATGGAGAAGCACCTGATTTATACCACTGAGTCTTCAAAGGACTTAGGAAATAACAGCACCAGGTACTTCTGGAAATGAGGAAAAAGGAGGAGGTAGCAAAAGTAAGAATTGGGTGAGAACTGTTTGATAAACATTTAAAGTTCCAGGTTCCTTCTCCAACTCTAGAGGTTCTGACATAGTTAAAGGCCAGGGTACACTAGCAATATACCATATACCTAGTTGCCTACTGACAGAGTATGGTGAATACTGAGGACTCCCTCTCAACAGAGGCCTCTCCCTATACTTGGCTCCCAGAATACTTACTCTCTAGGCAGAAGACTGTACTCCCTGGGTACTCTGACTGTCCTACAAGGAAGGACCTAAAGACACTGACACCAATTGTTCCCTCAACAAGATGCCCACCCAGAAGACCCTATAGTGAAACTCAAAATTAATACGTCTTCAGGTTCAGAAGTTCCAGTCATGTTTTTAGTACGATTCTCTTACTAAGGTGCAAATAACCAAGGATTTACCAGATATACGAAGTAAGCTGTTAACATGGAAGATGTGATCCAGAAAAAAAGCAACATGTAATAAACAAATTATATAAAGGGAAAGTTTAGAAAATTAAGATACTGCACCCAAGGAAAAATGAGTAAATGCTGTAAAATGGAAAATTCAGATAAAAAAATACTTAGAAATCAAAGGTCAATAAAAGGATTGGAAGATAATGAAGGAACCTCTGGAAAGCAGAAAGCGGTATTTTTTAAAATGGAAAAGAGGGTTAAAAAGATAGGAGAGTTCAGTATAAGAAATCCAGCACTCGAGTAAGAGGAGCTCTGAAAAGAGAATTTTTAAAAATGGAGAGATGAAAAATCAACAAAATAATTCCAGAAAATGTCTTACAACCACAGGACCTCAATTTCCAGAATAAAAGGGCCTAATGTATATATCACAGTGGATGAAAACAGATCCCCACCAAGGTATGTGAAATTTTAGAACACTAAAACAGAGAAAGATCTAACAAACTTCCAGAAAAGAAAAGAAAAAAAACTAACACAAGGATCAGTAATTTTTTTGCTTTTTAAAAAAAATTATTATTTTTCTTGGCTGGCATAACAAAATAAGTAATATTTTTTTTTTCTTTGAGACGAAGTTTCGCTCTTGTTACCCAGGCTGGAGTGCAATGGCGCAATCTCGGCTCACCGCAACCTCCGCCTCCTGGGTTCAGGCAATTCTCCTGCCTCAGCCTCCCGAGTAGCTGGGATTACAGGCACGCGCCCCCATGCCCAGCTAATTTTTTGTATTTTCAGTAGAGACGGGGTTTCACCATGTTGACCAGGATGGTCTCGATCTCTCGACCTCGTGATCCACCCGTCTCGGCCTCCCAAAGTGCTGGGATTACAGGCTTGAGTCACCGCGCCCGGCCGTAATTTTTTTTTTTTTTAAAGACAGGGTCTCACCCTGTCACTCAGGCTGGGGTGCAGTGGCAGAATCTCGGTCCACTGCAACCTCTACCTCCCAGGTTCAAGCAATTCTTGTGCCTCAGCCTCCAGAGTACTGGGATTACAGGTGTGAGCTACCATGCCCAGTTAATTTTTATATTTTTTGTAGAGACTGGGGTTTCATCATGTTGACCAGGCTGGTCTCGAACTCCTGGCCTCAAGTTGTCTGCCTGCCTCGGCCTCTCACAGTGCTGAAATTACAGGCATGAGCCACCATGCCTGGCCAGGATGAACAATCTGAATGACTTCAGATACTTCATAGGCAGCGTTGGAATCAAGCAGGCAATGAAACAATGGCTTCACAGTCCTGAAAGAAAAGTATTCCCAATCTAAAAATTTATACCCAGTCTAAGTAGCAAGCCAGTATGACAGAAAAATGAAGGCATTGTAAGTGTACAAACTCAAAACTTTACCGATGTAATCTTTCTCAGGAAGATACTAGAAGATGTTTTCTACAAAAGTAAAGGAGTAAATTAAGGAACAAAAAGTCACAGACTAGCCTGGACAATATAATGAGACCCTGTCTCTACAAAAAAAATTTTTTTAATTAGCCAGGTACAGTGGTGTGCACCTATTGTATTAGCTATTTCAGAGGCTAAGATGGGAAGATGGCTTGAGCCCAGAAGTCCAAGCTACAGTGATCTATGATTGTGTCACTGCACTCCAGCCTGGTCACGCCTGTAATCCCAGCACTTTGGGAGGCCAAGGAGGGTGGATCACGAGGTCAAGAGATCGAGACCATCCTGGTCAACATGGTGAAACCCCGTCTCTACTAAAAATACAAAAATTAGCTGGGCATGGTGGCGCATGCCTGTAATCTGAGCTACTCAGGACGCTGAGGCAGGAGAATTGCCTGAACCCAGGAGGCGGAGGTTGCGGTGAGCTGAGATTGCGCCATTGCACTCCAGCTTGGGTAACAAGAGCGAAACTCCGTCTCAAAAAAAAAAAAAAAATATATATATATATATATATATGCATCCTCATTTGTAAATGTAAAAAAAGAAAAAAAACAAGACAATAAGCTCAGAGCAGATGTTTTCAATAGGAACAACAAAGAAATCCAGAACATGGGCTGGGCGCAGTGGCTCACTCCTATACTCCCAGCACTTTGGGTGGTTGAGGCCAGTGGATCACCTGAGGTCAGGAGTTCGAGACCAGCCTGGCCAACGTGGTGAAACCCCCATCTCTACTAAAAAGATAGAAATTAGCTGGGTGTGGCAGCAGGCGCCTGTAATCCCAGCTACTCAGGAGGCTGAGGCAGGAGAATTGCTTGAACCTGGGAAGCAGAGGTTGCAGTGAGCCTAGATCACACCACTGCACTCCAGCCTGGGCGACAAAAGCAACACTCTGTCTAAAGAAGGAAAAAAAAAAAAAAAGAAATCCAGAATACAATAGAACAGTAACTTTATCTTATTTATTTATTTATTTATTTTTGAGGCAGGGTTTCATTCTGTTGCCCAGGCTGGAGTGCAGTGGCATGATCATAGCTCACTGCGGCCTCAATTCCTGTGCTCAAAAGATCTTCCCACCTCAGCCTCCTGAGTAGCTGGGACTACAGATACACACCATCACACCTAGCTAATTTGCAAATTTTTCTTTTTAGTAGAGGCAAGTTCTCACTATGTTGCCCAGGCTAGTCTTGAACTTCAGAGCTCAAGTGACCCTCCTACCTTGGCCTCCCAAAGTGCTGAGATTATAGGCGTAAGCACCTGACAGAATGATCTTTAAAGTGTAAGAGAAGAGCTATCATTTCTTCATTGATATCCAAGAATAAGAGTA